AAGTGACCAAGAAAGTAATGAGTGAAGCCGGGCGCTGGTGGCTCACGCCTATAATCCTAGCTACTCAGGAGGCTGAGATCTGAGGATCGCAGTTCAAAGCCAGCCAGAGCAAGAGAGACCATGAGACTCCTATCTCCAATAAACCACCAGAAAACCCGAAGTGGCACTGTAGCTCAAGTGGTAGAGCACTCACCTTGAGCTGAAGCGCTGAGTAACAGCGCCCAGGCCCAGAGTTCAAGCCCCACGACCGACCAAAAAAAACAAAAAAGTAATGAGTGTGATGAGACTAACCAGGATTCTGATCTGTTGTCACCAAAACTGAAGGCTGGGAGGTAGCTCAGTGGTTACAGTGCTTGCATAGCATGCTGAAGGCCTTGGATTCAATCCCCAGCATGGAGATGGGAGTCTGAAATATCACTTTTAAATCTCAAATAATGAGTATCCCCTCTTGGACAGGCAGAGGAACAGATGTCATCAACAAAGGCCTTGGGGTAGGGTTATCTGCTGCCAGCTAGCACATGGCATTATGTCCTGGCATATAAATAAAGTAAGTTTTCAGACAACACAGCTATTATAATTGAAAAAATTAGAAACTCCCAGAAGCTGACCATTAGACTTGGAATGGATTTTACTTTCTTTCTGATATTTTAGTATTATGTAAGTTACTTTTTTATGATAAGCATATAGTTCATGTCTTTTTTCTTTCTTTCTTTCTTTTTTGCCATTGTGGGCTTGAACTCAGGACCTGGGCACTGTCCCTGAGCTTTTGCTCCAGGCTAGCACTCTACCACTTGAGCCACAGCACCACTTTCGGCTTTTTCTGTGTTTGTGGTACCGAGGAATTAAACCCAGGGCTTCATGCATGCTAGGCAAGCACTCTACCACTAAGCCACCTTCCCAGCCTAGTTCATGTCTTATGGGGAAAATAAACCAAGAATGTTCTTGTTTACATACAGAGAGAAACAAAAATCAAACCCAAAACTGGGCTGCCCTGCTCTGGACCTGGCACTGAGCTGGTTGCTGCTTTGGGTTGTGCTGTTTTTGACGGGTCTCACTCTGTGATCCAGGCTGGCCTAGAGCTCTCTACCTAGTCTCAGACTGCTACTTTGGTAGGAGGCAGCAAGAGTACCCATACAATCCACTCTGATGGAACACCTCTCATCCCAGGCTCTCAGTAACCTCTGCAGCAAGAGGCCAGGGTGGGCACAGTGCTTCCTACGGTGTCCCATGCATGCCTCAGTGTCCGGCCAAGTGGCCTGAGGGGGTGCAAATGAAGGCACAGTAAACTCTGTAGATGAGTAGTGGTAAGCCTCAGCTAAGCTAAACATTGACAGTTTCCCTCTGGCCCTGGGTCCCACCTAACTGAACATTTTCCAGCTGACACCTGTAGTACTAGTCAGTGGAAAGAGGAATCAGCTGGCTCTGCAGGATGGGTGGAGCAGGCTTTGACCAATGGCTCCTCAGGACCTGGGCTGTTGATCTGAAAAGGGAGGAGCTGGATGAGGTGACTATTATGTCAGAATATTTAACATTGGGCAGAGAGTCTGCATGTTTTCACTTTCTTCTAGGCTTTTGCTCCAGGTGCCTGCCCCCTTCTTCCTTTCCCAGTCTTTCAGAATTTATTTCAAATTCCACTTCCTCCAGGAAGCCAAACGGACGTTGACCTCAATGTAGGGTTAGAGGATGGGAAAGAACAGGTTTGGTTTGGGATGAGCTGAAATGTAAGCAATGAGGATTGTGACAGGACAGATGTCATCAATTTTGAGGTCCTACAGGGTATGGCCTCCCAAGAAAAGATTCCAGAGGAAAGGGAGAGCCACAAAAGCCCCCTCCATCTAAAGAGGCAGGTGAGAAAAGAAGAGCCAGGACAAGAGTTGAGTTGCAAAAAAAAAGCAGAGGCCTAGGACAAGAAGACCACAACAGCATCTCCCTGCATCTGGGAAGACTACCGGGAGAAGTTTTCAACATCATCTAAACCAGGGTTTAAAATGTGTGGAGTTTTAGTCATTATAACTGGGAGATTGCTATTGCATCTTAGCAGGCCAAGGATATACTGCTCAATATCCTACATCACTTGTGACAGACTTCTCTCACACATAAGTTATCAGAGTCTCAAATATCAATAGATCCAGGGCCAAGATACCCCACTTTAAAGAATATTAGGAGCTAGGCGCTAGTGGCTCATGCCTGTAATCCTAGCTACTCAGGAGACTAAGATATGAGGATCGCAGTTCGAAGCCAGCCCAGGCAAGCAAGTCAGAGAGACTATTTATCTCCAATGAATCACAGAAAAAGCTGGAAGTGGCACTCTGGTTCAAGTGGCAGAATACTAGCCTTGAGCACAAAAAGCCTCAGGGATAGCGTCCAGGCCCAGAGTTCAAGCCCCGGGACTGGCCACAAAAAAAAAAAAAAAAGTATTAGAGGATGACTGACTCTCCAGGAGTATCATAGATAGGACCTGGAAGCTCAGCAACAACGCCCAAAACCACAATGACAATACTGGTTACAGTTGCCATCATGGGCACCCCTAGGCAATGGCCAATGGACTGGCCAGTAGAACCTGCTACTGTTCTTGGTATCTATGGCCAGCGCCACCACCAACACTACTCCCAAACAGCCTGGGTGCAATCCATAGTGGAACTACAGCCACATAATTGAATCCAAGCTGCAGGAGGAGGCTGGACAAATGCCTTCACGAGGTACCTTCCCTTGGGCCATCACAGCTTGCACTGGACTAATAAGGTGCATTTCCAGAGCAAGTGGCCATGTCAGTCAACACTGGAAACTCATAGGAGAGAAGGGACAAACAGAATGGCTCTGTTTCTTTGAAGATGGCAAATGGAAAACCTTGGCCATCTGGGATGGAGAGAGGCTGAGAGTAGAGAGGCAATGGCCCAGGAGGAAGAAGGCACCCAATGGGGTAGATGTAAGGAGAAGTAATACTGGGCCCTTTTCTAGGGTCCTAAATACGGTTAGGTTCTCAACAAATCTGCAGGATGAACAAAGACCCATTAGGCATTTGTCACAGTAGTCTCTTAACTTCTAGGTACCTTCTGCCCACAGAGCCTTTTCCTCCCAATGTCTGAGCCTTCTGAAACTGGAGGCCCAAAGATCTAAGTGAGATGTGCCTGGTTCAAGGTCCAGAGCCTAGGCCAGTCCCATGCTGCCCAGGTCTTCCCACCACTCTGGGCTGCTTCTCTCATCATTCACTTCCCCAGCTCTGCCTCAAATGATGACAAAGCACCTACAAGTCATTCAGCAGGACCCCCAACCAAAGCTGGACCACCTCTGCACTGTCCTGAGACATCTTTTAATCTCTTCGTAAAGTCTGCCCTAGGAGATACAGGACAGGTGCAGACTCCTCCCTATCTCTTGGCTAACTTTTCACCCAGTATCTGGTACCTAGGTAACTAGCACACCTGGACACAGTCACCTCCCCCTCCTGCTAGGTTACATCCTGGGCCACCTCTGGCCTTCCGTCTGACCACAGGTGGGTCCCAGGCCCTGAGGTCACATCCAGATCCAGTGTGGCCATACCTTTTTCTGTCCCTGGCCTAGATAAGTCCTGGCCTGGGGGTGGGTCTCCCCTTCTCCGCCAAGCTTCTCCACCATGCCCAGGTGGGGCAGCAGTTTGGTAAATAAACTTCTTTTCCTACCTGAATAGCTCTTAGTGTTCTCTTCATTGGCTACCTAATGAAGCCTACCTACGTAATATACCTTACACTCATCACTCCCAAGAAAGCTGGGTCACTGCCAACTAGGCCTGGTTCTTGAAAAGCTCTTCTCCCAGTTGGAGGAAGCACTTTCCCAGCAATCAGCAACCACAACCACTCTCCAGCAAGAAGGTGACGGAGAAGAACCTAGGGTGACCACCCAGGAGTACCAAGACAGGTGTTAAATCGCTGGCTAGTGAATCTCACTGATTCAGTGGCTCACAAAAACTAGTCTCATACAGTCTTCATGGGAATTGACTGGGGCCAGCCACACAGCCCAAAGGGGACAGAGCTGGGAAAGGAGTTCAGCTCTTTCAGCCCAGAGACAGTCTGGACTCCCAAACTGGGAGTCACAGGTAGCTACTCTCAGATCCGATGGCTGATAGGCAGTTCTGAGAGGAAAGCTTCTCCAACCCTCCTCCCAGCTGCTTCTAGTCTCCTGACTTCTCCCAAATGATTGATGGGCTGCATGATGTTCTAGGTTTTTCTGGAGGCCTTCCTAGGACCTAGCCCTCCTCTGGCAAGAAGGAAGGCTAGCTTCAAGGGAACAGGTTAGGGGATTTTGACATCATCATTTCACCAATGAAGCCACAGTACTGATAAGGAAGAGTGGCCCAAGGTCAGTCAGCAAGGCTGAAGGGCAAAAAGATTCAGGTCTTATCTGGGAACTGAGAGGAGGTAAGTTGTGAGTGTGTAGGGGTGTGCATGTGTATGTGTATATGAGAAGTTCTCTGGACCTTTAAGAAGCAGACCTGTGTTCAGCGAGGTCAAAGAATTCCTCTGAAGTCCCTCCCTTCTTGCTTGGGAGGGTTGGGAATGAATGGCTTCTAACCTCACTGAGGTCCACAGACAACACGCTGCCCACTTGGCCTAACTCCTGTAACTTCACTGTCCCTTGGCCATGGCACCCCTGCTTGCGTATACCTCCTGCGAGGCGCTCACTGACTTGTCTGGTTCAGGGCAGCCCTGCCATTGCAAAGCACAGCCTTCAGTAGCTTGTCCCATTCAATAGGTTCCACTGCTGGAGAGGACAAGGTGATTGTTCCTTGTGCCTGCTGGATGGTTGTCCCAGATAGCGCAAGTCAGAGATCATGTTGTGTCTTGAAATAAATACCCTCCCAGGACACTTCTGGGATCCCCTCAACACTGGCTCCTAAGCCCCATACTTGCATCTCTAATCCTCACAGCTTGGGGCTCCTCCTAAAGAAGCAAGAACATCCTCCAGGCTGGTCTCAAGACTCCCAGGGGTCCCCTGGTCCCCTCACCAACCTTGGTAGGGCCAAAGCATGTGCTGGCTTTTATTGTGTCTCTGTAGAGGGCTGGCTGGGAACTCAGCTACAGGTGTTGGTACTTCACCTCAAGGCATGGTTCTTTACTGCCGCACAAAGGGTCTTAGCCAGCTGGATACCAGCTGTCACCTACCAGGAGCCCAGGTCATGATTACTACCTCCCTCCTTTAGTAGTCTCCACAAGGTTGTGTCTGCAGCACAGTGTCTTCTAAAGGTCCCTTCAAAGCCCCTTCCCAGGATGCCCTAGGAGGAAAACTAGACTCCTGAGACTCAGTCTCTTGGGTCAGGGCTCAACTTAGCTCCTGATGACCAAGTAAAGGTGGTGGTGTCCCAATCTGGCAGTGGCGGGTTCTCACCCTCAGTCGATCGATGATACTACACCGAATTCAGCAGCCACATGGCCATCACCTCTTCCTCCAGAATGGCCTCCTGTTGGTTCCCTGAGCTCTGAGCTGCCCCAGGACTACAACTCAGACTGGGATCTTGAGATCCTTGGACCTTTTCGGATCTCTTTCCGCTTCTCCTCTTTCTTCCGGCGTTTTTCTTCTTCCCTCAGGGCCTTCTGGAAAGAGTCAGTGCTGGGCACGAACTGAGGGGAAGAGAAGAGTGGCTTATTCAGTCTGTTAGCAGTAGAATTTCCTCTGAGCTAAGTGAAGGTGGGCTGCCTAGACCCAGCCCTGTGCTCAGGGAGCGCTAGATAAGGAAGTAGGGAAATTTGAGCTCAGGAAAAGTGCTGAATGGCTCTTAAAAGAGAAACCAGAGTTTGCCAAGCAAACAGGGAAAAGAAGACTCTTCCAGGCAAAGGTTCCGATATGAGAATTAAGAAACAAGAAATATTGTCTTCCAGGGAGGGGACAGAACAGTTCCAAGAGTCCCTGGTTGTCACCCCCTTCAAGAAGTGGGAACAGGTCCAGGTCAGGACAAAAGACAGGTAACAGGTACTGCTGCTTGTGAACAGGGAGCAATTTTGAGGTGAAGGGCACACAGCCAGCAGTGGTGGGTTGGAGGTCAAACTGGCAGATCCCAAGGAAGACATTGGAACACAGGATGAGCAGGGGTGCAGGGGCTCAGGGGCACAAGGGTGGAAAAAAGGGACTTTGGTTAGGGATCTTCAAGGCACTGGCTCCTCTCATTCCCACATCCCCCCCAAAGGCTCATTGCACTCAGCCTTCTGCTGACCTCTAGCGCATTACCCCTAAAACCTGTGTCTGTGTCTAAATGCCTGACACTTCCCACATAGCCCCAAACTTGGCAAGGTTATATACCCCAGAGCCGCCTCATCTGTCAGTTCTTGGATTGCCTGTTCCTACGCACTTCCAGGTCTTTGCACATAGAGTGGCTCAGACCCAGAATGTTCTTTCCAGCTCCCACCTGCTTTGCTATTAGTTCCAGCTCTGCTGTCATGGCCCTTGGGACCTCCTCCAGAGACTGCCTCCTCAGTGGCATGCTCCCTTCCACTATGTGCTGATTCCTTCTTAAGAGTGTTTTTGTTTTGTTTTTCTGCTGTTGATACTAGGTTTGAACTCAGGGTGTTGTACCACCTGAGCCAGCTCCACCTAGCTTTTTGATGGTTAATTGGAGATAAGTGTCTCGCAGACTTTCTTGCCTGGACTGGCTTTGAACCCAGGTCTTCAGATCTCAGCTTCTTAAGTAACTAGCATCACAGGTGCACACAGCTTTTTCTTTTTTTTTTGGGAGGGGGGGGGGTTGGCCATGGGGCTTGAACTCTGGGCCTGGGCACTGTCCCTCAGGTCTCTAGTTCAAGGCTAGTGCTCTACCACTTGAGCCAGAGTGCCACTTCTAGTTTTCTAGTGGTTAACTGGAGATAAGAGTCTCATGGACTTTCCTTCCCCAGGCTGGCTTTGAACGGTGATCCTCAGATCTCAGCCTCCTGAGTAGCTAGGAATACAGGTGTGAACCACCAGTGCCATCTGATTTTTTTAGATGGGATCTTGCTCTATGTAGGTCAAGCTAGCTTCAAAGTCACAATACTCCTGTTTCAGCCTCTAAAGTATTGGGATTTATAGGTATGTACCACCATGCCTGGCTTGTATTTCATATTCTAAATTTCTCATTTATTTGTTAAAAAAAAATATTAAGCTGGATACTGGAAGCTCATGCCTGTAATCCTAGCTACTCAGGAGGCTGAGATCTGAGGATTGTGATTCAAAGTCAGCCAAAGCAGGAAAGTCTGTGAGACTCTTTTTTTTTTTTTTTGGGTCCAGTCGTGGGGCCTGAACTCTGGGTCTAGGCGCTGTCCCTCAGCTCTTCAGCTTAAGGCTAGCACTCTACCACTTGAGCCACAGTGCCACTTCTGGCTTTTTTCTTATGTGGTGCTGAGGAATCGAACCCAGGGCCTTGAGCACGCAAGGCAAGTGCTCTACCACTGAGCCACCTCCCCAGACTCTTATCTCCAATTAATCACCTGAAAACTGGAAATGGAGCTATAGCTCAAAGTGGTAGAGTGCTAGCTTTGAGCAAAAGAGCTCAGTAACAGTGCCCAGACAATGAGCTCAAGTCCTAGGACTGACAGAAAAAAAATACCAAAACAAAAACGAAAACATACTGCAGGGGCTGGGAAGTGGGCTCAGTGGTAGAGCACTTGCCTTGCATGCCTGAGGCCCTGGGTTCGATTCCTCAGCACCACATAAGCAAAAAGAAAAAAGCCGGAAGTGGCGCTATGGCTCAAGTATAGAGCGCTAGCCTTGAACTGAAGAGCTGAGGGACAGCGCCCAGAGTTCAGGCCCCACGACCACACCCAAAAAAAAAAAAAAGAAAGAAAGAAAACATACTGCTTTGCAGGCTAAGAACTTGGATTTGGGAATTCTAATCTAGTGGACTGGAGTGAAAGCTGCCAGCTCGTGTATGTGTAGGTGTAGGTGTAAGTGACCCAGGACCACGTAGCTTTGTCAGAGGTCGGGCCCACTGCTTTGGTGGCTCTATTTCAAATTAGTCCATTGATTACATCACTTTAAATTCTGGTCTTCACTAAGGAAATCCAAAAACCAAGAGAAACTTTTTTAAGGGACTCAAGTCTAATTGGTCTTTATTCCTAGATTCTGGTTGATGGACAGCAGGGAGCACCACCATGCCTTTGAATTGGCTTTTGAAGACCTTCATTCACTGCATTCAAACAACATTTTAAAAAAATTTAGTACAAATATCATTTATTGATATCCATTTTTAAATAAATTATAAGGATTTGACAAATCTTGCTATTTTCTACATCTGCATTTATTCACATTTAGAGGAACATGTGGAAAGCGAAGAACATGTGCTAAGAAATCTCTGTGCAATAACACTGAAAGGAATCACACTCTGCTCACAGTTCATGGAGACTGTTTTGTTTAGTGTTATGTTTTTGTGATATGTTAAAAAGCTTTTTGCTTTTTTGCATATATATTAGGAAGTGTGATACAGGTATGAGTTCAGATGTCTGGAGTGTGGAAAGTACTACATGAGCAGAGGTTTTCTATTATAAAATTACTGTTTCTTCCTGGTCACAGCAGGTCCTGCAAATGTTTATACAGTGTTTTTAAATGAGGTATTCTAGAACACAGCTACTGTATTGCGTGGGTGACTTCCTTGTCATGACTGTATCCTTTACTGTTTTGTTAAAGAAATGTAGATGTGCAAATGAGAAGTGATCATTTGTTACATACTAAACTTGTATATATCAAAAGGGATGAATTTAGCTATGCCAAGACACTGCAGTTAATCATGGATCTCTTTCCATTTCTCTGATTAGCATGTTCTCATTCTTGCTATTGTTGATATGTGGAATTCTGTGGCTAAGATCCTATTACTACTTAATTTGTCCCTGATAAGACTACCTCCACAGTAATGTTAGCTAACCTTAGACAGCTGAAGCTTTAACATGAAATTCAGTAATCTCACAGTTCACTTTTTAAAAAAAATAGTGTGCTTTGTTGTGTCAAAACTTAACCTGATTTAAACAATACACTTTTATAACCTTTGAGGAAAAACAGAACACTTCAAAGTAACATTGGACTCAAAAACCAAGCCATATTGTATTTACTTAGACATGTAGCTATAGGTATAACTATATAGATAAACACACAAAATATTCCTTACTTCAATTAGTATGGTTCTTATTTAAAGTGATTTATATAGCTGGGCGCCAGAGGCTCAAGCCTTTAATCCTCGCTACTCAGGAGGCTGAGATCTAAGGATTGTGGTTCAAAGCCAGCCCAGGGAGAAAAGTCCCTGTGAGACTCTTATCTACTTGAGCACTGTGGCTCAAGTGGTAGAGCACTAGCCTTGTGTATAAACAGGTTCATGTATGACGTCCAGGCTCTGAGTTCAAATCCCACACCTGACCAACCCAAAAAGGAAAAAAAAGGGATTTATGTGAGTAAAAAGTTCTTTTTTTTTTGCTTTCTGTAACATCTGGGGCATCATATTTTTCATTATATTATTCCACATTATTTTTCCTCAAAGTTCCTAGCATAATATATCCATTACTTAGTATATATATCTAGGCAACAACACTTAGAAATTTATTCATGTCTAAGAACGATTCCTGTGTCCTGGTTTACATTTGTATGAATGGCATATTCTGAAGACCACTCTGCTTGTGTTGTGACTTACAGTATTTTTACAATTTCATAGGAATTCCATGCTGTCATTTACAATGCTGTGACATACTTTCATGTGGTAGGTTTTCTCAGGAACTCAATTTAAGTATTGTTTATTGATGTATCATTGCCTTTAAAAAGCTTCTACTGGCACAATATATGATTAAATTCTGAATACAAAAAAAATGGAAAAAGATATTGAGGGGCTGGGAAGGTGGCTCAGTGGTAGAGTACTTGCCTCGCATGCATGAGGCCCTGGATTCAATTCCTCAGCACCACATAAGCAGAAAAAGCTGGAAGTGGCGCTGTGGCTCAAGTGGTAGAGTGTTGGCCTTGAGCTGAAGAGCTCAGGGACAGCGCCCAGGCCAGAGTTCAGGCCCCACAACCAACCAAAGAAAGAAAGAAAGAAAAAAGAAAAAGATATTGAGCTGAGTGCACTAGTAGCTCATGTCTTTTTTTTTTTTTTTTTGTTAATCGTGAGGCTTGAACTCTAGGCCTGGGCACTGTCCCTCAGCTCTTCAGCTCAAGGCTAGCGCTCTACCCACTTGAGCCACAGTGCCACTTCCTGCTTTTTCTGCTTATGTAGTGCTAAAGAATCGAACCCAGGGTCTCATGCATGCAAGGCAAGCACTCTACCACTGAGCTACCTTCCCAGCCCCATAGCTCATGTCTTATAATCCTAGCTACTCAGGAGGCTGAGATCTGAGGATCACAGTTCAAAGTAAGCCTGAGTAGAAAGTCCATGAGACTTTTCTCTCCAGTTAATCACTAAAGCTGGAAGTAAAACTATGGTTTAAATGGTAAAGCACTAACTTCGTGTGAAAAAAGCTCAAGGATAGTGCCCAGTCCCTGAGGTCAAGTCCCAGGACACTGGGCACTGGTGAATCATGCTGTAACTACTCAGGAGGCTGAAATCTAAAGGATCACATTTTGAGGTCAGATGGAACGAAAAAGTCTACTGGACTCTATCTCTAAAATAAACCAGCAAAAT